CGAGGAGGGAAGGGGGGGGGCGTGTCCGTCCCTCAGTACCCAGCCTGTCCTTAAAGCATCTGGTTACAGAAGCTACACACACACACTGCTCTGTGAGGCAGACACAAAAGCGAGTTGCCCCTCCACGCCAGCCATCCCCCTGGCCCGGGGAGGCAGCCCTGGAAAGACAGAGCACCGCCCAGCCTAGCGACAGCCCAGGCGACCTTGGGGAGGTCTCGCACATCTCAAGAGGAGAGGACAGCGTTCCCCTCTGTTCACAGCATGGATTGAAGTATTCCCAGAGCAGATCGCGGCCTGTCCTCATGTGCTTCCTCGGGCGGCTCAGCCAATGACCAACACGAGCCCTGTCACAACTTAGGGGGCCCCATCCCAGCCAGTTAAAGAAGAAAATCGTCCAGCTCAACCTGAAAATGTTCGGCCTTCCATAAAGCATGCCAGGCATTCTCTTTTCATTTTATTACAATCCCCAAGCCCTGAATGATAATTTCCCCAACTGCCCAGCCTTGTTTGTCTTCCTATTTATAGTCCACAAAGACTGGCATGTTGTGGAGAATTGGAAAGTGTCCTAGCTGTGACTATGCGCAAAGAGCGGGGGAGGGAAGGAGCAGAAAACAAAGAAACAGAGAGACCACTGACAAAGCTAAAAGCCATCTCAGATGCTTCTGATAAATTTAGGAAATTTTAAATTTCATGGCTCTAGCTTGAGATGCAAACTCATCCCCGTATTAGTTACAGCTCTTAGACTGCAAGTGACAGAAACAAACTTGGCTTAAGCAAAAAGGGGGTAGTCATTATCTAAAAGGACATCTCAAAAAAACTCAAGGGTAGCCCCGGCCAGGTGGCTCGGTTGGTTGGAGTATTGTCCACACACCAAAAGGCTGTGGGCTCGATCCCCGGTGAGGGCAGATAACCAGGCTGCAGGTTTGATCCCGGGCAGGGGGGTCCTACGGGAGGCAACCAATCGATGTTTCTGTCTCATATCAACATTTCTCTCTCTCTCCCTCTCCCTTCCTTCCTATCTAAAATCAATAAAAATATATCCTCGGGTAAGGATGGAGACAGAGCTGCTAACTTCGGGCCATCCTTACGACTTCTTCTACAAGCCTATACACACACATAAGCCGTAAATGCAAATAATCATATTTTACACAGAGTTTAGTAATCTGTTTTTGTCCCTACTTTTTACGTGGTCAACTACTGTTCTCTGGTCACGAGGTGCTGTTGCATCATCATTTTTAAGGGTCCCGTGTATGCCGCTTTCTAAAACGCCCCAATGTGCGTGCCTTATTTTCATAACTGGAAAAGAAATGGTTTAAGAGAAAGACCAGTTTCACTGTATGTTGGGGGAAAGCAGCAAAAGAGTACTTCATGGAGACCTACCTTCTGTATCAAATAGCTTGTGACATGCTTGCTAGAGTTAAAGAAAGGGGACATGACATTTACTGAGCATCTACTAAGTGCCAGGTTATGAGACAGGAACTGAACAAGTGAGCAATTTCATCTACCTGGCAACCTCTGGCCCATGTGCCCATGGTGGGGCTGCTGACCATGGCGCCCGGTGGCACAAGACCTGGACTTAGCCAATCACGGTCCCCTGAATGGAATGACTGGTCCAGGAGGTGGGTGCGAGTCTCTAGCAGGGCCAATCGGAGGCCTCCCCCGGGACTGCTTGGGACCCTGGGATAAAGAAGCCCCTCTATTTGCTGGGGTTGCTAAACTGGGGCACTGTTCCAGGAGCTGCTGTTGGCCGCCCTGCAGGCCCTGGGACGACACCCTCTGTGGAAGGCGAAGAGGAGGCAGACGTGGAAGAAAGCACAGTCGAGACGTCAAGACGGCGCAAGAGAATGGCCCTGGGTTACCTGTGCCCAAAGCCTTTCTACTTCTCCTCGGCCGGGTGTGTGAGCCAATAGTCATTTGATTTTCCTCAATTTACATTAGTTGGCACCCCCTCCTTTCTGTCACGTACAACCAAGAGTTCTAACTGACACAGGCACAGAAAGAGAACTTACTTCTCCCAACAGTCCTGAGGGAAAGCTGTTAACATCCCCATTTTAAGACAGAAAAGGTGAGGCACAGAAGGAAAATAACGTGCTGACGTTGTGCGGCTTGTGGGAGCCCGAGGTTTGGCTGCAGGCCTCCTTCCATCACATGCGCACAGCGTGGTGACGGCAAACGTGCCTGTTAGGTCAGTTGGTGACTTGCACAGGCCTCTCAACACCCTCGAGATTTCTGTTCCCCAGACATCACAACTTTGCCACCGACGCTCTTTCCCCAGCATTGCCTCCAAAGCGTCACCAAGGCAAAAGCTTTTCCCTTCTACACCCCAGGGGCACCCGGGTTGGAAAGAGTCAGTGCCCAGCACCACGGCAGGTGAGGGAGCCAAAGGGACAGCTGGGAAGATGACCATGGTGATGGACAGTGGCAGGTCCTGTGACACAGAGGCTGCTGCCCAGGCTCGGCCCTGAGCTGGGGCCCGATTTCGGGCAAATGCTGACCCTCTCAGCCCTCTAGCTCCAGCTCTGCAAGAGAAGGCTGGGCTGGATTACCCTAGGTGTGAGGGTGATGCCCAACACAGGTTTCCCATGATCTGCCATCTCCACATCTGCCAGCTCAGGAAAGGGAGCGATGGGAGAATGTGGAGTTGATTTGTGGGCAGTGAGAGGCAAGGCCAGTTTCATCCCAGCCGGGCAGCGACTCGTGGCTGCCAGGCAGCTGCAGAGGCCCCAGGAAGGCCTCCAAGGCCCTGTCCAGCCCGGACAGAAGACCTGTAGTTGGCCAAAGTATTGCCATCAGAAAACAGGCCGCCAGCGCCCCACTGTTTCTGCAATAACCAGGGGTAAACACCAGGAAGGAGGACAGTCCTCTCTACTCCCGCTCCTGAGGGACCAGCTGAGACACACCCGAGAACAGACTGCAGCAGCTGGGAGTGCCCCGTGCCTTCAGCCTGGATGTTGCCCCCAAGTGAGTCTAATACCAGGCCACAGTGACACATTTAGAGGCCTTTCAATAAAACTCAAACACGTAAGACATGGCATTTCCGTTCTTCTGGGGCTGCCTCCTTACCATGGAAGAAACCAAATGGCCCTGAGACCTTTTCCCCCCAAATAGAAATGGCCTAATCACCCACAGGGGGTCAGCCTGTGACTCGGGTGCACTCTTTCAGGAAGATGTCTGCACGTACAACATTTTCCCTGCAATTTCAGGGTTCAAAGGCCAAAAGGACATTCTCGGGCTGTTTGGGAGAAGGTGGCCATGGGCACAGAGTAAGGCCTTTGTTTAACTGGGTTTTTTTTACTTTTTAAATTATTTTATTATGTTTGTTTGGTTTTACATATGTTTTTATTGATTTCAGAGAGAGGAAGGGAGAGGGAGAGAGAGAGAGAAACATCCATGATGAGAGTCATTGATCGGCTGCCTCCTGCACGCCCCCTGCTGGGGATCGAGTCTGCAGTCAGGGCCTGTGCCCTGACCAGGAACTGAAACTCTATCTCCTGGATCCTAGGTCGATGCTCAACCGCTGAGCGACGCCCAGCCAGGCTATATTATTTTTTAATTTATTGATTTGAGAGAGAGAGAGAGAGAGATTTGTTGCTACACTTATTGATGCATTCATTGGTTCCTTCTTTTAAGTGCCCTGACTGGGGATCAAACCCACAACCTTAGCGTATCAGATGATGCCCTATCCAGCTGAGCTACCTGGCCAGGGCAGTTTTGGTTTGGTTTTGTTTTTTTACTATTTTTAAATGCTTACTATAAAAGGGAAAAGTTTTAATATATAAAAAATATATAAAATTATAAAACCAACAAAACTTTGCACCTACAAATATCTACTATGAATATTTTGGTGAACATCCAGATTTCTCAATATTTATACCATTTTACCCAAATGAGGTTATCCTACCCGCAATGACTTTTTTAAAAATTGATTTTAGAGGGAGGAAGATAGAAAGAGAGAGACATCAATGTGAGAGAGGAATATCTGTTGGCTGCCGCAACAGCAAATTGAATCCCCAACCTGGGTTTGACCCTGACCAGGAATTGAACCCGCCACCCGACCAGGGCCACACGGACTTTAATCGGCTTACTGAGCATTTCCCTGTGGCAGAACTGAGGTTCACTAGCTCCTTAAATTATTTTTAAAAGCAGAACTATAAGTCAAACATCCAAACAGTGCTCTAAAGAGGCCCAAACCACTTGTAGCCCAGGGGGCCGTAAATCTGAGGGTCCTCTCAGGATCACTCCCCCAGGGGCTCGGGACTCAGGGGCAGGTACCTCCCGGAAGCTGAGCTTGCCGTCAAAGTCCTCGTCGACCTCCTTGATCATGCTCTTCAGGCCCAGGTGGGTCTGGGGGGCCCCCAGCTTCTCCATCATCAGCTTCAGCTCCATCAGGTCGATGAAACCGTCCCGGCCGGAGTCATACCTGCAGGGCAAAGGCGTCCACTGATGAGGGAGCCACAGCCAGGACGAGAGAACGCCTGCTACCCTCCCAAACGTGTGAGTCTTTGGCCTCATTTACTGAAAAACAACTCAGATAGCTCCTGCTTTGCAGCACCCCGGTCACCGCCTCAGAAGGGACCCCCCTCCTCAAAACACCTTTGGGCTCCACATGCTATGATCCCGAGCGGATTTTGTACTACGTGTTCATTTTCATGTCTTATTTCCATAACTGGGCCATAGTTTCTCGAGGATGGAAATTATTCCTGCCCAGCCGGGCGTGGCTCAGAGGTTGAGCATCGACCTAGGAGCCAGGAGATCGGGGTTCGATTCCCGGTCAGGGCACATGCCCGGGTTGCGGGGTCCATCCCTGGTAGGGGGCCTGCAGGAGGCAGCCGATCAATGACTCTCTCATCATTGATGTTTCTCTCTCTCTTTCCCTCTCCCTTCTTCTCTCTGAAATCAATAAAAATATATATATATTTTTTTTTATAAAGAAAGAAAATTATTCCTGTTTATCTTTATTCCCCCCATTTCGGTCAATAAGCATCCACTGGACCTCCTGAAACTGGACAACAGAGGAGCTGCAAGAACTCGCCTACACACCCACTATATTCGCATGGAGCCAGCGAAGATTCCAGGAGTCTCCTCTGGGTCTCTCCACCCCCATTTCCACCAACTCCTCCTCTCATCCTGTCTAGGCCTGGCCCCTGCGCTCTGGCTTTGTGCTTCGCCCTCTGGCTCACTCATCTAGTCTCCAGGTCTGAGTTGTCACCTCTGTGCGACAACTAAGAGGGGTCCCGGCTCTGCCCTGTTGGCTGAGTTTTAGCCACAGAGCCAGCACCTCTGCTGGCTGCCCCTCCGGCCCCAGCCTCCCCATGCGGGGATCCAGCCCTGCCCTCCACTCCTGAGTGCCTGGGTCAGCCCAGTAGGGCCGGCCTCAGCCTCTGTCCTCTGCTTTCTCCTGACCACCCTGCCCCCTTCGCTACACACGGGCTGCTACAGCGATTCTCGCAGACTCCCTGGCCTCCTTCCTTCAAGCCCATCTCATGTTCTGCCACCCAGAGTTCCCCTGTTGCTCAAGTATAAACACCTTGCTTTAAAAATCATATCCATTCATGATCGGCAAAAGGTGGGAGCATATTTATACAATAGAATATTATCCGCAATAAACAGGAATGAAGTTCTGATCCATGCCGCGTTATGGATGAACCTTGACAACATTATGCTAGGGTTCAACTAAGCCAGACGCAAACGACAAATACCGCACGATTCCATTTCCATGAAGCACCTAGAATTCAGACGGAAAGTGGAACAGTGGCAACGGGGCGTGGGGGAGCGGGAGGGGGAGTTACGGTTTAATGGGCTAGAGAAGCGATTTTCAACCGGTGCGCCGCGGGAAGTTTCTTCTTAAATCCTCACCTGAGTATATTTTCCACTGTTTTTCGGAGAGGGAGAGAGAGAGAAACACTGATGCGAGAGAGACGCATCGATTGGTTGCCTCCCGCAGGTGCCCTGACGGGGGCCGAGCCTGCAACCGAGGCATGTGCCCTTGTCCAGGATCGAAGCCCGGGCCCTTCAGTCCACAGGCCGATGCTCTAACCTGCCAGGGTGAGAACTTTTAAATCATGCGACACCCAACTATTTAGTCAGGGGCACTGACCTCTTTTCTTTCCCCTAGATTGTTAAATAAAAAAAATGACAACAGCCAACACAACAATAGCCGTCTGGTGTAAAATAAATCAAAGTTATACCTATTTTTTGGTCAGATGGACAAAAAATATATTTTTTGTCAGTACTAAAGCAGCAGAGCTTTAGTAATGAGTTTATGTGCCACGGAAGGAGAAAGGTTGAAAACCCCTGGGCTAGAGTTGCTGTTTGGGACTAGAAAAAGCTCTGGAGACGGATGGTGGTGACCGTTACACGAGACCATGAACGCAAGCCTGGCGGCCAGGATGGCAAATTTGATGTGTATGTCACCCCTTTAAAAAATTAAATACAGCCTGGCCGGGCTTGGCTCAGCGGTTGAGCATCAACCTAGGATCCAGGCGATCGGGGTTCGATTCCCTGTTAAGGCACATGCCCGGGTTGCGGGCTCGATCAATGACTCTCTCATCATTGATGTTTCTATCTCTCTCTTTCCCTCTCCTTTCCTCTCTCTGAAATCAATAAAGATATATTTAAAAAATAAAAATTAAAAAAATTAAAAATTAAATACATAAGCCAATCTGGTTTCTCCACTCCATCTCGCCCTTCCCCCAACCTAACAACAAAAAACGCCCCATTGTTAGGAACCACACACACACATAGCCCCCGGAAATGTCGCCTGTAGGAGACCAGAAATCCATCTCTGTGGGCTGGGGTATTCTGAGGCCCCCATCATCGGGCGGAGATGGGGGTGTCCTCCCCGACGTGATCTGTTGCAGCCGCAGTGGCCGACTCACGCCATTCCTCCCACCCAGAACACACCACCCACCCACGCTTGACTCTCTTTGGCGACCATTTTGCACCCCAGAGCTCTGGGAGCGGCACCCACCGCCTGCCCTCCCGGTACCCGGCTGGCACCACGGCCCTCTGAGGGGCATTTCCTAACTCAGGCAGCTCTGCGCTCTCCGGGCACCACCTCCTGGCCTGGAGAACCACAGAGCAGGCACCACGGGGTGCAGGTGAGAGCCCTGGACCTGCCGGGGGGCTCCCAGGACCCTGAAGGACAAGACAGGGGTTCCCGGCCTGGAACGAGCACGGAGCGTCTGGTTCCCAGGAAGGGGGCAGATATGAGCATCACAGATGGGCCCGCCCAGGACCTGGTATTACCCAAGGACGGTTAGCGAGCCCTTAACAAAGGAAGCAGCGATCGACATCGGTTCACTAAAAACAACTCAGGGGGGCCCTTATTTACTTGGTTTTCAGTCCCTTTTAAAATAACGGCTTGCCCTGGCCAGTTTGGCTCAGTGGTTAGAGCGTCAGCCAGCAGACTGAGGGGTCCCGAGTTTAATCCTGGGCAAGGGCACCTACCTCAGGCACAGGCTCGATCCCCGGCCCCGCTGAGGATTAAAAATAACAGCTTTATTGAGATATAATCTACATGCCATAAAATTCATCCCTTTAATTTGCACAGTTCTGTGGGTTTNGCAGGCTCGATCCCCAGCCCCGCTGAGGATTAAAAATAAATAAATAACAGCTTTATTGAGATATAATCTACATGCCATAAAATTCATCCCTTTAATTTGCACAGTTCCGTGGGTTTTTTAGCCTGTCCACAAGGCTGTGCAGCCCCATTGCTATTTAATTCCAGAGCATCTTCACCCCCTCAGAAGGAAGCTGCGTGGCTACTCCCCAGCTCACTCTCCCACCCCACCCCCAGCAGCCACTAGTTTGTTTTCAGTCTCTATGGACCTGCCTCCTCTGGCCAGTTCACAGAAGTGGAAGCAAACCCTATGTGACCTTTTGCGTCTGGCTTCTTTCACTCAGCNTTTAATTTGCACAGTTCTGTGGGTTTTTTAGCCTGTCCACAAGGCTGTGCAGCCCCATTGCTATTTAATTCCAGAGCATCTTCACCCCCTCAGAAGGAAGCTGCGTGGCTACTCCCCAGCTCACTCTCCCACCCCACCCCCAGCAGCCACTAGTTTGTTTTCAGTCTCTATGGACCTGCCTCCTCTGGCCAGTTCACAGAAGTGGAAGCAAACCCTATGTGACCTTTTGCGTCTGGCTTCTTTCACTCAGCAGTGTTTTCAAGGCTCGTCCGTGTTGTAGCATGTTAACCAGTACTTCATTCCTACTGAATAAATATATTTTATTTATCCATTCACCAGTTGATGGGCATCTGAGTTGCTTCCACTTTTGGTTGTTATGAATGATGCTGCTATAACACTGGTGGACAAGTTTTTGTGTGGACATATGTTTCCATTTCCCTTGGGCGTATACCCAAGAGTGGAACCGCTGGGTCACATGCTCACTGTGAAGCAGGATCGTCAAGCTGATCCCCAGAAAACCATGGCTGACCTGTGACCTCCGCCAGGGAGCAAGGCCCCTCTCTCTGTCAGGCTTCTGGGGGAAAGATAAACAGGTGTCGGTACCTGCACAGTTAGGGGGGTTGCCTGTTGGTTGTAGGGTGACCTAGGATGGGTGCCAACTATCAAATTTTTTGGTGACACAAAGTTGGGGCAGAAGCTATGGCCAAAAGATCTCAGCAAGCTGGTGATGTCCAGGAATAACACAGAGCAAGGGAGAAAGCAAGGTCCTAAACACAGAATCACCATCTTAGGCAGCAACGCCACTTCTGGGTATACACCCAACAGTACTGAAAGCGGGGACTCGAACATGTTCATAGCACATTGGTCCCAACACTCAGAGGTGAAAACCACCCAGTGCCCGTCAGCGGATGATGATAAACAAACTGTTGTGTGACTCACAGTGGGACATGCATTCTTCAGCTTTAAAAAGGAAATTCTGGCACCTGCCACAACATGGACAAATGCTGTAGGATCCCACTTCTATGGGGTACCGAGGATAGTCCGATTCACAGAGACAGAACGGGGAATGCTGGCGGGGAGAGGGGTTTTACGAGGTGAAGAGAGTTACGGAGATGGGTGGTGGTGATGGCTGCCAATGATGTGAATATACATAATGCCACTTTAAAATGGGTAAAATAGTAAAATGTATACCTTATCACAATTTAAAAAATAAAGGCAAACTCCCAAAACTAAGTCCCCCCCACGCACTCCTCAAGCGCACATTTTGGAGGAAGTCCATTGGCATGTGTGATGACATTTGGAGATTTGCGAGACTACAATGAGTTTGGGGGTTGCCCAAAACCCATGGTTAAAATCACAATGGCCAGAAGGAAAAGATCCAAATCCTGGACAAAGGGGCTGCAGTCTTCCCCACCCTGTGACAGTCTGCTCCACTCCAAGCAGAACTCCTGTATATCCGGGGACATGGGCCTGGTCAGTGGGGAGCACCCAGGAAGGTAGGGTTAGCGTGGA